AGCCTTCCAATTGGGGTACGAAGTTGGAAGGTACCTTTATTACCTTTGGGAATCAGATCAATCATCACTGAGAACCTCGTACATACTGGTAGTGGCGAAATACGCTTCAAAGGCAGCTGTAAAACACATCACAACCTTTTGAGATCTTTGATATTATTATCATATATTTTTTTTATTTTCCTAATTCTATATTATTTTCATGGCTTCAACATCTAAATTTCCTACAACATCTTTATATTATATCAAAGTACTAACTCAACCAAAATTTTAAGTTGATGGTTATTGAATTTCAAGGTTGAATATTATATTCTTAATTTTACTTCATACTAACACTTTTAGATGGTTAGGATCACAATGTCTTACCAGCAAAATGTATATTTTGTACTTCAATTAATTAATATGATTATTAGTAAACTAATTCTAATACTCCAAACCAACTTCGACAAGATACATGGTTGTTTCTTAAAATTGTTCAAGTCCAACAACATATATTATATACATCAATATAGATTTCAATTAGATAAGATGTAGCTCTCATTGTTTCCTTTTTTTTTTTCCCTGAATGTTTATACTGTCGGTGCACCTAAATGCCTACGAAATAGTTTCAACCTTTATTGTTATTTAATTTAATTTTGATAGAAATAAATAGAAAATAGCTTGTATGTGGTCACATACATGAAGCAAAGACATAATAAATTCAAAAGTTTACACTGATTTGACTTAATAATTTAGAGAAATTGACATAGTGTATTAGTCCCCATCCTAATTTATGGCTAAGATAAAGAGTACGTACTATTCATTCTTTAACTATGACCATGTGTTTTACAAATTAATAGAGAAATGTTATTACCTGGTAGTTATATGTTGTTGGATTACACTCAAGGTATGTTCTCAAATTTTTATATATAATTAAATAATTTTTACCAACAGTAATATTAAAATATAAACAATGACATGCGTGAATTTCTAAATGTTGTTATAATTTTTAAAAAATGGAGGAAAGTATATTTGTAGATCACATCGTCCATGGTCAAGTTATCTTTTTTTCTAAGGATTGTATTGATTACATTTAACTATTATTGGTAGAAAAACCATAAGGTAAAATGTTAATGCTTTGAAACTATGCAATGAAAAGTGTCTAAAATGGACTCTTTGTTAATAGGGGTAATTCATGCAATTATTACATTTGTTCAAAAATAATATATCCTACCTAGACCAACAGTAAAATTGTTTTATATTTCTATGAAACATTTTTTAATTGTTTAAAATGTGAAAAACTTAAGAGGTATACGAGGAAATGATATCTCGATTGCGTAGATGATTGAAGAAATTAGGAATGTTGCAGTCAGTTTGAGGATATGCTCTATTAGTAAGGTAAAACGGGAATAGGTGCAACGGGTTAATGATATTGCAAAAAAGTGCCGCTGTACTTTCTCTAATTTAGTGCTTTAGTGGTCTCGTCTTGTAATTTGCTATTGTCAAAAAAAAATGTGAAAAACATAACAAAGACAACTTTTTGGTTCACCAATTATTGCTCTAATTCAATTGTAGAAAACGGGAAAAAAAGAAAAAGAAAAAAAAAACCGTTGTTTATTTAAAATAACATTTGTTGTGATGGTTGATTGTAGATATATAACTCCCTGTATGACTGGGCACACAATAAAATAAAGGTGACTGATAAAACATAGATCAAAGTGACCTCTATGATAAGGAGTAACTCGCAGATTATGTAGTGACTTGTATGTATAGAAATGAGATGAAATTTCACGTCTAATGACACGAGGCTTTTTCTAGAATTTGCCATGATTGTGGAAAGCAGTACACGATCTACCTGGGTTAACAAAGTACAAACAAAAATCTAGTTGAAGCAAAACTTAAGTTACATTAATTCACACTAACTGAAGTTGCATTAAAGGCAATGCCAGCTCATATAAGAAGGTTAATAATAGGTAACTTTGACTAGAGACTTTTCAGCTTTTGTAGGACAAATCACAGGAAACTTAAAACTTAAAATCCAACTTATAGTCACTAGAAAAAGGAGGCTAAAAATAGCCTAAAACTAAGAAAACCAAGTTTTAGGTAAGAAATTGATTAGTTGAGAAGTAACATCATGTAATATGTAGTAAGATCCAAAGTTTTTTCAACACTTAATTTCTCCTTTAAAAGCTTATTGCATATTTGCATTGCCCAAAAAAAGAGCAACAGCATTGCATAGCAATATGCAGAGGAACAATAACAACAATTCAGAGATGACCTTCCTAGTTGAAGACATCGAAGCTGTCCTCGAAATGAACAGATTACTAGAGAAGGAGAATCAAGAGCTGAAACACGAAGTGGCACGTCTAAAATCACAGATTGCTTCCTTGAAAGCTCATGATATCGAGAGGAAATCGACTTTGTGGAAGAAGTTGCAGTATCCCAGCAGTGTGGGAAATAAAGAGGAAAGTTTACAGAAACAGACAGTTCAGAGTCTTCAGACATCAGAACAGCTGCGTACACCAGTGTCAGAAAGTAAAAAACCGTCGCCATCCCCACCACCGCCTTGTAAGCAGATTGTTCCTCAGGATTCAGACATGGGATCAATGAATAATGGTCCTCCACCACCACCACCTCCACTGCCGTCTAAATTACTGCTAGGCTCAAAGTTAGCAGTTCGTCGAGTTCCTGAGGTAATCGAGTTTTATCGTTACCTCAACAAGAGAAATGCCAAGATAGAGAATAGAACAAATAAAACAACAGCTTCAAAGGAAGTCAGTCCAGGGAATATGATTGGAGAAATTGAAAACAAATCAATGTACCTCTCTGCTGTAAGTAATTCTATATTTTCTTTTCCTAACTAACTATTAATAAAGTCTGAATGTCATGATTTCCGTTTTCAAAACTCGGAAACTTTAGGGGGGAAGCTTATTTGATACATCAACAAGTTTTTCCTGCTCTTTATTAATGTTTTCCTGCAATATAATTGGGTAGTGCTAATATAAATTTGATATTCGGGTTTGAACAGGTTAAATCTGACGTTGAGATGCAACGCGAGTTCATCAATTACTTAATAAGAGAGGTGGAAACAGCAGTCTTCACAGATATATCAGCAGTGGAAGCATTTGTAAAACGGCTAGATGGAGAGCTGTCAAGTCTGGTAGACGAGAGAGCTGTACTAAAGCATTTTCCGCAGTGGCCAGAAAGAAAGGCTGATGCTCTAAGGGAAGCCGCTTGCTGTTTCCGTGATCTGAAGAGTATAGAATCCGAAACATTCTCTTACAAGGACAAAACCAAACAACCATTGCCTCAAACATTAAGGCGGATACAAACGTTGCAAGACAGGCGAGCATGTATATAAAAAAAAAGTTTATGATGCTAAGGTTCAAATAATTTGTGATGTTAATAATCCAGATTACTAATATTATGATCAACTGTTGTAAATTCAGGCTGGAGAGGGTAATAGAAAACATCGAAAAGACGAGAGAAGGAACGTGCAGAAGATACAAAGAGATGCAGATTCCTTGGGATTGGATGCTGGATACAGGCCTTGTTGGTCAGGTAAAAAGAAATGAATTGCTGTTAATTCCATATGATCAAATTGTTGACTTATTAACAGAAATGCCACTAGATAAACACTTTTTTGTTTATCATGAATATCAACTTGTAATTTCTCGTTGAACCTGAGGTTTTTTTGTCCAATGACTTCGAAAGCTATAATTACTCCTTATGAACATTGAGCACATACAATTTTCAAAATTTCTATATGAACAATTCAATGATATTAGGATGATTGGGGAACTGAGGTAACAGAAATTAGGAAGATTGAGAGGAATACTTATTTTATAATTTGCCCTTTGTTTTTAATTGTTAATCCACTTTGCTCGAGCATGTTTGTGAATACATAATTTTGACCAATAACAATTGTAATTATCTTTTAGTTAAATTTTAAAAGGTGGATATTTTATATTCATTACTAATAAATAGCTTATATATTCATGTTTCCGAATGTGTAAATTACTGGCAGATTAAGTTAAACTCATTGAAGCTAGCAAGAGAGTATATGAAACGAATCATCAAAGAACTTGACAGTTCTAGATTGCCTAGTTCAGAAGACATCATACATCAGGGTGCTCGTTTTGCATATCGAGTTCATCAGGTCAGAACAATTACAACCATACCAATTTCTGTTTTTCATTCAAAACTATTAACTTGAACCACACTTCTGATGTCTAAATTTTCTAACTGTCACAGTTTACTGGCGGTTTCGACTTAGATACAGAGCAAGTATTTGAAGAACTCAAACGAATTCATAGTGCAAACTCTCCACAAGCTTGTAAGGCTTGAGATATGGACTAATCAGTTATTGCAAAGCAATAAAATAAATCATAGTTTGTAATATAACTCTTCCATGATATTTATTAGTATATAAATAGTATAAATTAGGATAATCACTCTGTATAATTTTTCTTATTTTTGAACTAATAGTTTATAGATACTTCCTATTTAGTGAATACAAATCAACAGAAATTTAGAGCTTCCTTATCTAATTTATCATGGGATTGTATTAGGAGGAAACGTAGATATATAATTTTGAAATTATTCTCTTGCTTATGTTCTTTCATTTTTAATTATGCACATAACTATAACTATGTAGTATGTGCATACTTTGCTTGATTCGATTTTTGCTATTAAAACTTTTGGCTACATTTTATGAAAACAGATCTAGAGATTTATCTATAAGTTATCATGTTTAATCATGTTATTTACTAATCTTTACCAACAATAGAACTTTAAATGTTTTGATTGTTTAATCACGCGAATGATAAGTTAGGTTGCTTGTATTGAATGAGTTAATGTACTACCTCTTCCCTGAACGGAAAAAATGAGAAAGGGAGTACTAAGCCAACACATAATGATCGAACAAACTCCGGTGAGGCTTTTATGTTATGTGCTATACACGAGAGATATACTCCTACATAACTTAGCTATAACTTAGAAGTTGAATCAATAGTAAAAGGGTCTCAAACAACCTGTACTATTAAAGCAGATGAAGGATTAAACCTTTTCTCAGATCTGTTCCTACTTAACATCCTTCTAAGAGAGCAATCTAACATGGGATAATCCCTACTTCCCACATTCTCGTCTTCGGAATCTGCATCAATTCCCATAATTTCTACCAAAACTTGATCATTATTTAATCTGTTATCACGGTTCATGGCGACAGCCTCATCCGTTTGATTCGTATCATCATCCACGAGCAGATGCTCCTCTGCTGCCGGATCTTCAGCAGCAACATCAGTTCCCTCACCACTCGCTGTCTCGCTTTTCTGACTAACATCACCTTCCATCACAACTTGAGCTCGACAGATTGGACAGGTAGAATGGCTAAAAAGCCACATATCAATGCATTCCATATGAAATGCATGTGAGCATCTAGGCAAGCTCCTTCCTACCTCACCTTCCTCAAACATACTCAAGCAGATTGCACACTCCAACGCCACCCCCTTAAACCCTTCTCCACTTCTGCCCTCCGACACCGGTCCATACACAAACGTCGGGATCAAATCTATCACCGTCAATTCAAGACCCTTAGTTTGGTACGAACAAGAAGACAAAGAGGTGATATCATACGTGTAGGTTGTTGACGACACAGTGTGACCTCCGGAGGTGAGGTGTGCGGCCAAATACACCGACTATAGACGTTCGACACAGGCGGCCCTCAGCAAGGAGCCACCTCGCGTAAATATGAAGTAGGAGGACAAAAAGGATGACCAACAAAAGACATAAGATGGCAGCAAGCAACAAGTTATTCTCATAGGCGATAGTGGTGCTACTAAGCATATTGTTTGGTGTTGCTGATGATACACAAAGATGCTTCAACTAATAATCGTATCGCTTTGAGTATATATATATTCTTACAATGTATACAGAACAAAGGAACAAAGATTAACAACCATAGGATACCATGAAGAATGTGAGAAAATGTGAAGTTGCGTAAATGCTAAGTTGTCAAAGTGAAGGGGAGGTGCCTCTAATTGTGTATGTCTATAAAATAAAAACGGTGTTACGTAAGTCAAAAGGAAGGTTCCCTGCATCCAAGGAGAATGGTTGGAGAGTAGATAAAGGACTCGTGAAGTTGACGGCAGACCACCCACGGAAATTTTTTATTTCTTACAAAGCATATTTTATGAATTTGGTGCATTGAAAAGAGGATGATTTTTATGAATTTGTTGCATTGAAACTGGGAATTTTTTATTTTTCAGAGATTGAGGATCCCAATCTCTAAGCACTCGGGAACCAAAGATCAAATTATATGGTATCAATAATAGTAAGAGTGATAGTAATCGCAATATAAACTCAAACTCAGCTTGAACTTGATTCTAAATACGCTAGAAATACATACTAAACATTTTTTTTTCGGTCCTAAAAATTATTATACAAAGCTTAACTAAAGTTTAAAATAAATATTCAAATTTTAGAATTTCTCTGTACAAAACAGGATTTTTTTTTATTTTAAATAACTCTTAAAAAATCAACTAATTTTCTTAGATTTATATATAATCGACTTTACTATTTGAAATTTTCAACATGTATACTCGAGATTCATAAAATATATATTAAAATATCATTTTCTACCCAATTTTAGTACACGTAGAAGAGAGAGATTGAAAGCGAGAGGGTAATGTGGAGATAAGAAGGGTTAAGGTTTAATGTGCATTGAGATTTAGAGACATTTCACACAATTTTACCAAATAATGTTGGTGCCTTGGTGATATACGAAGTATATTAACATATATTGAAAATTTTCCCAAATAGTAGTAATCAAATTAATAAATACAAAGTAAGTCCATATATAATTTCTAACAAAGTTTGGTTCACTTAGTAAGGTTTTTATCTCAGGTCTAAAGTTCGGATCTTGCAAAGTGAGGATGTTTGGAGATAGAAATTTCCTTACCTTTTCCCTACTTTTAATTGCCTAACTCGCAAATATTAGACTAAAACAACTATGAGAGTTGAAGACTAGTGAGAGTCTTTTCCTTGCCCAAAAAAAAAAAAAAAAAAAAAAAAATGTCAAAATTTGCTTAGACATGCAAATCAAGTGCAATGAGTCAATCCCAATCTAAACTGAAGCTGGACAAATATTATGGCTCAAACCCAAAAGATGGCCCAGTTAACTCTGATTTAAACCAGCTTGGGAAAAACAGAGAGGGCTAGCAATAGTGCCACAATTAGAACATATTTTCCATCACAATGTCCTTTGCCATTCTTAACATGCGGCCTGGATCAAATCTGACCATAGAAAGCTCAAGTATACAGGCCATACGCTGATACACCGCCTTTTATCTTGTGAGTGTAATATTAGAGCTGTCAAAACTAGCCCGAGCCTAAATAACCTGACATAATAATTGGCTATTAATTTGCCCAACATGACTCAAAACTGACCCAACCCTGAACGTGAACTTTCAATCTGACAATTTGACATGACATCAATCAACTTTGATACGGAGTAATTGTTTTACTAAACCCATATTACAGATTTACAGTTGCATCTATCGTATAATCTGACACAAAAGACAAATGTAGCAACTTTATATTGACATTGAACTTGTTATTTATATACGAAGTATATTTGTTTTTATGAAAAATAAATTATGGTCAACGAGAAAAACCATGACCATGAAAGATATATGTCAATAAGTACATTGAAATGAAGATAGTAATACATTCATCAAGTGAGAACAATAGAAATACACCGAATTCAGATGAAGGATTTTCATGTTATAAAGCAACAAAAGACCAGCTTCTCCCACCAGTTTAATCCATAAGCTTGTATCGTTTCTCTTGTACACCTGTTACTCCCATTTGGATCTCTATAATTGTGTGAAGAGGCACCTAAACATCGATAACCGACATTAGCAATACAGACATGAAATAACAATAGTTCTGTCCGGAACTTCAACAAGTTAAATTCCCTTCAGATAAGAAAATTGAAGACGATTCCAGATTTTCTTTAAAAAGAGAGACCGCATCAGGAAAAAAAAAAAAAAAAGATAAAATCAATTCAGACTAGAAAATCATCACATCAGGTAATTCAGGTCAGGAATAAAACATATAGGCTCAGGTGAACAAAGTTACAGGAAGCCCCACCATATAGGCTCAGGTGAACAAAGTTACAAATAAACCAGGCAAAAGAGTCAACAACAGTAAGCTAATCTATTACTCTATACTAAAGTGAAATCGTTTTGGAGGGAATTTTCCCTCCTTAACACTACTATTTTTTTTTTTTTTTTTTTTTTTTTTTTGTGAAACATTAATTTGTCTAGGATAGTGAGTTAGTGACTTAATTTTTTTTTTTCTTGGAAATCTTCTCTCTCTCATGCTTAATATTGTGCGTAATAACTCTTATCACCCTTGGAAAGTGATACAAAAGTAGTATGATAATAAAAATAATTCAAAAGTCTTATTAATTACTTTATATACGAATTATTGTAAAGATGATGTATTTGTCCATAGAACAACTAATGGTCGTGAGGGATATTTAATATTGGCCGGGAATTGCAATATGAAGACTTAGGTAATTAAGTTATTGTTTCTTACTATCTACCATTTATATTCCCTTTGATCTTCCTTCTCTAATGTATATAAATATTATGACATGACTACATTTATAAGCCAACTAAAAATTATCAAATAGATGTATTAAATTTAAAACCCTGGGCATCCCATGGGCACTATCTAGTTGTCCATTTACAATACTAGTTGTTTATAGTTCTTAAGCTCGGATTTTTCAAGGACATACGACATCTAGACACTATCAAAAGGGATCCTTAACAATACCTAATCCCAAAGAGGGCAAGATCACTAACTTTTTTCCTAAACTTTAAGGAACCTACAAACATCCAAACATATCACTATTAGTACTTTCTGCAGAATTTATGTGTTTCTGGCAAAGTGTTTGGAGATGAGATGCTTGGAAGTAGTCTTTGAACTATGTACTTATTGCTTAATAATTTTAGCAGATATTTGGTCCCAAATGGAGGTGAACAGGACAAGTCTATCTGTATCTATTTAGTTCATAGGTGTTCATTGTTAACTTGTGAACAGCAAGGGTAGATGTCTGCAAAGTTTACCTCAATATGTGGTATTTCTTTCAAAGGCCTGTCAGCAAAGTAAGCATACAATGCTCTCAGAACAGCCTGCAATTAAAGAAAAAAAAATCAGGATCATAGTAACATGTTATTATCAATAACCAAAATTTAGGGAATACGCTTAGTAAATTAACATTAAGCTGTATTACCTGATGAGAAATTACTACAACAGGTGCTCTTTGTCGCTCAAGCTCAATGATTACAGGCTCCAGCCTGCATCACAGGAATTTATGTAACTTTGAATTTTGAAATCAAGCATATATTGCTCTGGAAATATAGTGTGAGGAGAGAGCAAAAGGGGCTCTCAAGATTATCAGAAGATGTAGATACAAACCTCTGGATGACATCCAAGTATGACTCTCCTCGAGGATAGCGATACCGAAGCTTGTCTTTTTCACGTGATCTGGAATTTGAAGAATAAAGGAATTAAAACAGATGTGTATTCCTTCAAAATTGCCATCTTTCATGTGTAGGTTATGCTGATGTAATAATGCAATAACCTATATGGAAATAATCCAGAAAAGAGCAAGATAAAATTAGTACGGAGTACATTACATAATTTGAGTCGATAGGATACACTGTCAAATATTGACAGACATCCTTGGTTAAAATAATATTTAATCAAACCAAGTCCATCAGGCAATATAATTTAATAAATTAATAGGGCCTTCCTCAGTAAAGATAGCACGGATTTAAACTAAATGTTCACAAATAAAAACACATATATGTATTCTAAGTTGTGGAACTATTCATAAAACAAATACATAACAGTCAATACAATATGTAAATGGAATGAGCTACATACTCATATTCTTCAGGCATATTCTTCTTGATCTCCAAGTAAGTCATTCCATCACATGCTCCAGCATTAATTTCATCAAGTGCACGCCACTGCACCTGTGGAGTTCACAAGAATACGAGAGTCAGATAGTTTTATAATTTTTATATAGTAAAAATCACCAGAAATTAGCGAAAAGGAACATTTAATGTCAAGACTAGACACATATTGCATAACTCAAATTAATTTACCTTGGGAAATCCAACTATATGATTTGCAGTTGAAATCGATCTTTGCAAAGTGCTGGTCCATATCTGCATGATGAGAGAGAGAGGGGGGGGGGGGGTTAGTTCTCTGTAAATAGGAAAAACCAATATCTTGAAATCCAACATACACATTTCTCGCAGACAGTTCACATAACAATCATTGAGAATGCAACTGAAATAGCTTAGGTGCAGAAACCATCACAGAAAATAACTAAAACTATCTGATCAGACACCAATATTAATGATGTAACCCTTTTTGTGGCACATAGTCCTTCAGG